GGCTCAGCCTGTAATCCCGCGCCTCTGGGAGGCTGAGGTGAGCGGATAGCCTGAGCCTGCGCGTGCGAGATCCGCCTGGGCAGCGAGACCTCATCTCTACAATAAATCAAAAAATCACCCGCGCGCGGGCGCGCATGCCTGTAATTCCGGCTACTTGGAAGGCTGAGGCGGAAAGATCGCCGGAGCCCAGCAGGTCGAGGCTGCGGTGGCCGCGAGCGCCCACTCCACTCCAGTCTGGATGACAGAGTGAGACTCCAACTCAAATATATATATATATATATATATATATATATATATATATATATATATATATATATTTGAGTTGGAGTCTCACTCTGTCATCCAGACTGGAGTGCAGTGGCCGCTCCCGGCCACCGCAGCCTCGACCTGCTGGGCTCCGGCGATCCTTCCGCCTCAGCCTTCCAAGTAGCCGGAATTACAGGCATGCGCTACCACGCCCGGCTGATTTTTTGATTTATTGTAGAGATGAGGTCTCGCTGCCCAGGCGGATCTCGAACCCGCAGGCTCAGGCAATCCGCTCACCTCAGCCTCCCAAAGGCGCGGGATTACAGGCTGAGCCTGGCTCCAAAAAATATTTTTAAAATTAGCTAGGCATGGTTGTGTTCTCCTGTAGTTCTAGCTACTTGGGAGGCTGAGACAGGAGGATTCCTTAAGCCCAGGAATTCAAGACTGCAGTAAGCTATGATGGTGCCACTGCACTCCAGTCTAGATAACAGAGCAAGACCCTGTCTCTAAAAAAATTAATAATATATATATATATTTTTAGTTGGAGTCTCACTCTGTTGCCCAGACTGGAGTGCAATGGCATACTCCTGGCCACCGCAGCCTCGACCTGCTGGGTTCCAGCTATCCAAGTAGTTGGAACTACAGGCGAGCAGTACCACGCCCAGCTAAGTTTTGATTTATTGTAGAGACGAGGTCTTGCCAAGTTGCCCATGTGAGTCTTGAACCTGTGGGCTCAGGCAATCCACTCGCTTTGGCCTCCGAGCCCAGTCATAAAATACTTAAAAAAAACTTTTTTAAAATGGAGATATTGTTCAAGATTTGGGAAATGGGGGTGTGGGAGTAGAGAGCTTTCAAATTTTGCAAAAACAAAAAAAAGTACTTTCAGATCTCCTGGAAATATCATCTCTCCCCTCCCCAGGACTGTGAAAAAAAACAGCAATCTGAGAGGCATGAAGGCATCTGAAGCAGTTTGGCGTCTATTCTGAAAAGTCAAACAACGAAGACCATCTAATTTAGTTCAGTGAGAGCAAGATGTGTTTTTGTTTACCATGGCATCCTTTGTAATTTATGATAGGAAAGTACCCAGTGATCTTTTCTTTCTCCAAATAAATGTCTTCCATCTAGACCTGTGTGGGGTCTCAGCTTGGAAGTGGGATTACATAGGACAGCACAGGGCTAGGACTTCTGCACCCAAAGGAGGTGGCAGGCTCAGATTCATTGTGGATTATTTTGAGCCTGCCTGTGTTAACAGAGAATCGATTTGCCCCTCACCCTTCCCTGGGGGACTATGATGGCTCCTTCTGCTAAGACCAAAAATCAAAAGGACCAGCCTTCCCCTTTTCCTCCTGGCCCCTCTGTCACGCCTTCCCCAGGACATGTCAGCCCCAGTGGGAGAATCCTTTCCACCATCCTTAGGGTCCAGCTTTGCTGGCCACTGCTCCTTCCTCCTCCTCCCTGCTCACTTGTTCCATGTATGGAAGACCCACAAACACCCCAACTAGAAGTCTCTACTGGGGCATGGCTTCAAGCAAGGGGGGGGGTTGCCTCCACAGACCCTCACTCCGTCCCCTATGTCAAGGTGACCCTTTTGGGGAAGCCAAACTTGGTGGCAATTTCAATTAAATGCAGAAAAGCAGTTAATAGATTTTTTTTTTTAAGACAGAGGGCAAGACACCAGCCTCTGGGAAACCTGGGCTGCTCAGGCAACACACTCCTCCTGCTCTCCAGCTGGGCCGCACATTATTGATGTTACCTCTCCTATAATGACACCAATTTCATGAAAAAGTCAATGCTCAGTGTGTCTTACACACGCTTCTAGTCCAAAGTTCCCTCTCCTCCTTTGAAAGGAATAGACGTGGGGAGGTTGAGGATAACCGCGCCTTGGTCGCCTCCCCCTTCCTCTCCCCTGCTGTCCTGGCCCCCGGGCCTGTGAACTCCCGGGATAAACCAGGGCCTGAAGGCCCGTGGCCACATCGACGGCACCGCGGGGCCAGTGACCGATGGCGATGGGGGTTTGTTGACTGCTGCGGAGCTTCCTGAGCCCGCCCTACCTCCCCCCATCGTCGACCAAAGGTTTACCAGTGGGACCCGCCAGAGACAATGGCGGCCCCCCGCGGGCGCGCTGTTAGCTTGTTTGGAAAGACCCCAGGCGCTTCGAGGTAAAAAGGTCAGCGCAGGATTCGGGTTTACCTCGGCCTCCTCCGCTCACCCCCAGGCAGTCCTCCAACTTTCCCCCAACGCTTTTCCCCTCCCCCATCGCGGGCTCCCCTCCCCTTCTCCCGTACCCTACCCCGCCTCGACCCTTCCACGGCCACGTCCTTCCTACCGAGGGCATTCACCTTGAGCCCCTGTAGAAAGGCTAATTTATTTAGACTCTCAGCCTTTCGGACCCCGACGGCGCAGAGTGGCTGGGTGGAAGGGCGCTGGGGCGGGGTAGGGTGGAGTGGGTGGGTTAAGCTGTGTGCCAATCTGGAGTTTGTCAGCAGTCCACGAAATCTATGCCAAGCCTGGCTCTGGGCAGGAGGGAGGGAATATATTGAGGGAAAAGGAAAGGGGTAGTGTTCTGTCACCTCCCCCCACCTCGTCTTCTTTCTGCCCTCCCAACAGATCGGCTTCTCTTCTTCCTGTCTTCCTCTCAAGGCCCTCTGGGAATTGTCCCAGCCTAAACCTTCTTCCTCCGTGCCTTTCTGGGTTCCCCCAGTGACCAGTGGACTGGCTGCTGTCAGGCCTGGGTGCCTGGGACCCAATTTTGCTCAGGCCCACATTCAGTAAGTCCTTCTCTTTATCCAGCTGAGCTCTTAAAGTTGAGTACTCTTTCCTCACCTCATTCCCATGACTCACGGAGCACGAGGCCTCCTGTAACCCTAGATAGAGGAGCAGAAGCAGGCAGGAAGAGGGGAAAACACAGACTTTATTGAAATGAGGTAGTTGGAGGTACAGAGAGAACCCTGCTTGCTTGGGGTTCAGGTTTCCACAAACTGAGTGGCGCCTCCACTGTCTCCAAGGTTCAGAGAAATGTCTGCAGCTGCTGGGAGCCCTCTCTATACCTGGGCCTCCCTGGGCTGCCCACAGGGTTAGGGGTGGGAAAGGGGCAGAGGGTCCTGGGTTTTCTAGGAGGCAATAAATAGGGGAGGAGCTAGTGGGGGCGTGCCTGCACCTTCCTGGTTGAGGCTTGCTGGGGGCAGGCCTCGCACAGCGTTCCAGAAGTCTCCAGAGTACCAAGTTCCAAAACGCTTTGGTGATTTAGTGATGAGGTCGCTGGTGGGAGGAGGCAGGTCTCAGAAAACAACCTCTGGAGGCTGCATTAGTGCAATACAAATGTGCCAGGAGAGGGTTAATAGGGTTAAATGGGAGGGGGGCTTTTTGGTCTGTCACAAGGCAGCTGGTGCTATTGTAAGGTCTGTGGTGACTGGATTAAAGATTGGTAATCATTGGCCTGCACCCAAAACCCCTCGCACACAAGAAATTTCAAGGCCATCTCTCTGTCCCGGGCCTAGAAGGGGGAGTTAGGATGAGAATGCGCCAGGAGAATACTCAAGCTCAAAGGCACTGAACTGAATTCAAAAGTTAGGAGGGCAAAGAGAATCAATCCAAGAGGGTGTGGCTGGCTCAGCCCCCAACCACATGTGGTAGGTGAGAGGATCCCCAGATCAAAGGCAGAAGCCCTTCTCTCCGCATCTGACAGGTTCAGTGCTTCCCAGGCCTCTGATCCTGTAGGGTCCTTAGTCATCAGTTCCCCACCTAGAGCTGAGAAAAATGTTTCCCCTTTCCCCCTCCCCCCAGGCAGCCCTAAATTGGGCCCCAGCCTTGGAGAGGATCACCAAGACAGTGAAACCGAGGCCTCAGCTTGGGGACAGCCTAGGAGAGGGCTGGACCGAGGCGCTCCAGTGCCTAGAAGCCCCGTCGGTCGGTCGGTCGTAGGTTCAGTTCAAGAGGTGACAGAACTGGGCGAGGCTTCCGGGGAGGTGCACGTTGACTGGTCCGAGGCATCTCCCGCGGCCTCCTTGGGGCAGCCTGGTGGGGCCGGGGGCATCCGGCCTCCCTCCCGCTCGCGCTTCTTCTGCTTCATGCGCCGGTTCTGGAACCAAATCTTGACCTGTGTTTCATTGAGCTCCAAGGTGGCTGCGATCTCCACCCTCCGGGCCCGGCTCAGGTACTTGTTGAAGTGGAACTCCTTCTCCAGCTCGGTCAGCTGCCGCGTGGTGAAGTTGGTGCGGAGGCCGCCCGGAGGGCCCAGGCCCAGCTCCGACACCTTAGCTAGGGGCGGGGCGGGGAGAAAGGCCATGTCAGTCTTCTCACCTCTCTCTGCTTCCCCTCCCTCCCGAGGCAGCTCTGTGCCTTCATGCACCAATCTGTCCAACTTCAGTTTTCAAGGTTCCCAGGATCACCAGGCACTCCCCCATAGTGACCCCCAGATCTGGAGCTGCCTCCCGGTACTTCCATTCCTCCCACCCCGACACACACCAGGTCCTCGCGCTGCGCTAAGTGCCCAGACCTGGAAGTGGAGTGTGTACGGAGACTTCCTCTTAGGGGTGACTGGGGGCGTGCTGGGTGGGGAGACCTCACCTGACCTGAGACGAGGTGGAGCGCGCTTACCTACCTAAACCAAGGTGGCTGAAAGAGAAGAACCCAGCCCAGGCCCAGGACACCTCAGCGCAGGGGCAGCTGAGCTGCTTTGGGCCCCGGGGAAGGGGTGGCCACATCGGAGCCCTACCTGTCTTGGGTGGGTTTCTCTTAACCTTCATCCAGTCGAAGGTCCGGGCCGTGGGGGTGCTGGGTTCTGACGGGCAGGGAGCTTCCTTGTCCTCGGAGAGGAGATCAGTGTAGGCCGGTGCAAAGCTTGCCGTCTGCTCGTTCGTGTAACCGGGCTGCGGCGGAGGGTAGGGCCCCGGGCCCGCCGCACCCGCTGCGTAGCCGTCGGACAAGCCCCCTAGCTGGGCTCCGTAGCTCGAGGGGTGGAAATAGCCTCCGTCTCCTTCCGACTGACCCAGAGGGTAGTACTGGGAAGGCCCGTAGCCGGGGCTGCAGGTGGCCGGCGCGTACCCGGAGGGCGCAGAGCTGGGGAAGGGCACCCCCAGCGCCGGAGGCGGCTGCTGGGCTGAATAGCCCGAGTTCTGCTGCAGCGCGGGGCTCGGCAGCCCCCCGCCATAGCGGCCCTCGCCTGCGTAGCTGTCAACGGCCGGGGCCGAGCTGGGGGGAAAGGAGGTTGGGGCGCTGTAGGCGCTGGGTCCCCGGTTACAGAGTGGGTACTCTAAGAAGGAGTTCATCCTATTATAGTCCATGCGACGAGGCCGCGGGAGGGTCGGCCCGTTTGGGGGAGACACCCTCTTGCCCTACAACCTCTCGGCAGTATGTCACAGCGCTGAGGCTTTCGTCCATGGCCTGGCCCGGCGCGCCTGGCCCGGAGCTCCCCTCGGAAGCGGGTAGGGAGTGGGGGTGGGGCACATGTGATCTCTCCCAGGCCAATGGGCTAAGCGGGCCAGAGTTTGGCAGCCCCAGCGCCCATCCATCACCCCCCAAGCATTAGCATGACAAAGACACTTCAATCACCCGCAGCCCATCCATCTGAGAGCGACATGGAAGCGTCAAAAACATCTTTCTTCAAAGACTTTTGGAAAGAAGGGACCAGAGGGAGAGGGGGGTAAAGTTAGAAGAATATTCAAGACTTTCCTCCCTTCCCAACCCCCAAGGCCTTCAATAGGCTCCGGGGTTATTAGATTTGGACAAATTCAACCCAGCTGCCCCTCAGTCTTCCCACCCCTCGATGAAACCTTCCCCCCAAGGCTGTAGACCCGGAGGTGGGGAAACTAGCCCCCTTACTCTGCCCAGAACTCCTGCTCCCTGTTTCTTTCTCTTGGTTTGTCTTGGGGTGATGGGCTAGGGCGGCCGGGTGAGGTATGTTATCTTGGGCCAAATGGATGACTGTGAAGGGAGGGAGGTGCAAAAACACCTAAGGGTGTGAGGCAGGGTCTAGAATCTAGAGGAAGAATTCATTCTGCCAGGGGTGGGGAAATGGCATTTCAGGGAACAAGACAGGACTACAGAAACATGGAGAAAAGCATGAGAAACGCCCCACTCCTCTCTCTATCTCTCTGCATAAGCGCTCCCGCCTCATTCACACATCCATTTCTCTCCCTTAGCCTTTCTTTATATTCTCTCTGTCTCAATCCATCTCTCTGTTCGTTCATCTTTCTCCATATTTATATTCGTTCCCTACCTATCCATCAACTCATCTCTCTAGATGTATTTATCCTCTCTCTAGCCATCCATAGCTGTAGCTGGCTCACTCACTCAGACTTAAATAACTCCCTATAACTCTCCAGAGAGCCACAATGAGCAGAGTTAGGTGATGTTTACAGGAGGGTGAAGAGGAGGGGACTTTTTATTCACTTCTTGACTGTTGAAAACTGGTGGAGATCCTGCATTCTTCTGATTTCATTCCACCCCTCTCTCCTTCATCACCCTCCACTACCTTCCCAAAAAAAAAAAAAAATTCTAAGCCTCAGATACATAAATTCAATACCAGCTAAATCCTAAAGATGACTCCAATTTTCAGTGCATTTTCTAGAATTGATAAAGGGAATGTGCTCAGAGAGTGGGAGACCCTGAGGCTATGAATTCTCAGGAGTGGAATCTCGCCCCTTTCTGCTGTGTGTGTCTGTTAGGGAGGAAACAGGAAGTACCTTCTTCCTCATTCTCTCAGACCCCAGACTCGGATGAGACTGGCAAAGAAACCCTTAGGTAGAGCCCATTGATTCCCCTCCTCCTCGGGACAGGCTTAGGACAAGAGCTTGGCGCAAACCAACACCCACACTCATTTGTAACCTGTCAGGGTGTCTGCCTGGCCGGAGGCCTGGGGCCGGAGCTAGGGCAAGTCCATGAGGGCAAGAGTTCAGGGAGGCATCTCTGTAAACAACTGAGCTCAGGAGAGGAAGAAGGAGCAGGTGGGGCCGGTTTGAGGAGGGCTCTGCAAACTTCTCAGGTTTCCCTGCCCTAGCGAGGGCAGGGTGAGTAGCCATCCTTCTCCAGAGGATCCCAAAGTTGTCTCCCTCAGTCTCAGTGGCGCGCCATCTTTGTCTCCCATTCTGCCTTGCTTTGCTTGTCTTTCTGTAGAGTTGCCCCTCCTGCTTTCTGTTCTGTAGAAAACATCACACTGCATTTCCCTAAGAACTGTGGAACTGGTTTAGCCCCTAACTATGAAAGAGCTCAAAGCATGTCACAGAACCCTGTCCTCTTTCCCTCCTCATGTGTACTCTTCTTCAGACCCTGCTTCAAGTTGGGGGAGGGAGCCCAGTTGGTACCTTCTTTAAGAGAGATGCAATGGAGAAAGTGAGACAATGTTCACTTGCCCAAGGGATGAGGGAAGACAAAGGAAAGGAGAATTGAGACTGGGAGTAGAGATGACCTACAGAGAGATTAAAAGGATAACTGAGGTGGGAGCAAGTTTGTATCTTTCTTTTTTCTTTTCTTTCCTTTTTTGAGTTGGAGTCTCACTCTGTCCCCCAGGCTGGAGTGTAGCGGCACGCTCATGGCCATCGCAGACTCGATCTCCTGGGCTCAGGTGATCCTTCCATCTCAGCCTTCCAAGTAGCCGCTGGAACCACAGGCACACGCCAACAGGCTCAGCTAATTTTTTGATATATTGTAGATACAAGGTCTCGCCAAGTTGTCCAGGCTGGTCTCGAACCCCTGGGCTCAGGCAATTCTCTTGCCTCCACCTCCCAAAGTGCTGAGATTACAGGCCTGAGCCACTGTGCCTGGCCAGCTTGTATCTTTCTATTTCACTTTTTTGAGGGAGGGATTTGTAGATGTTCCCAACTTTCTCGTCTCATTTTCAGACGTCTTCCACAGAGGTTGAGAGACCTTTGGAAAAGGCCTTGGGCGGAGGAAACTAGGGTTTGTCTTCTAACCCCAAATTTGAGCTAGGCCTATGTTTGATCTGGCTGCCCTGCTTCTGAGAGACTTGAGACTTCACTTTCTACCTATTCCTCATCCTATGGGGAACCTTCCACCTCCATCCTTTGTCCTCCTAATTAAGAGAAAAAATTCAGATCTACAGGAAGAAGTAAATTCCAAGTTAGCTTAATAACACAGCACAAATCGGCCACTTCTTTAATCCTAGCACTTTGGGAGGCTGAGGTGAGGGGATTGCCTGAGCCCAAGGGTTCAAGACCAGCCTGGGCAACTTGGTGAGACCTCATCTCTACAATAAATATTTTAAAATTAGCTGGTCATGGTGGTACACACCTGTAGTTCAGGCTACTTGGAAGACTGAGACAGGAGAACTGCCTGAGTCCAGCAGGTCAAGGTTGCAGCGAGCCATGGTGGTGCCACTGCACTCTAGCCTGAGTGACAGAGTAAGACTCAAACTCAAAAAACAAAGAAACAAACAGCACAAATCTCTCTGGGAGTTGGGAAAAATGTATTCCCCCTATAACAACTGAAGTGACCGATAGTCTGTTATTAAAGACAGGAGGAGGTCGGGCTCAGTAGCTCAGCCTGTAATCCTAGTACTTTGGGAGGCCGAGGCAAGTGAATTGCTTGAGCCCGCGATTAGAGACTGGTCCAGGCAACTTGGCGACACCTCTTCTCCACAATAAATAAAAAATTAGCCGGGTGTGGTAGCGCACATCTGTAGTTCTGGCTACTTGGACGGCTGAGACAGAAGGATCGCTGAAGCCCAGCAGGTTGATGCTGGGGTGGCCGTGAGCATGCCATTGCACTCCAGTCTGGATGACAGAGTGAGACTCCAACTAAAAAAAAATTAATGAAAAAAATAAAGACAGGAGGAAAATGCCGAGGCAAAAGTGCCTCAAGTTGGCTGGGCACGGTGGCTCACACTTATAATACCCGTACTTTGGGAGGCCAAGGTGAGAGGATTGCCTGAGCCCACTGGTTCGAGACCAGCCTGGGCGACTTGGCGAGACCTCATCTCTACAACAAATAAAATATAACTAGTTGGGTGTGGTGGCACATACCTGTAGTTCCAGCTACTTGGAAGGCTGAGGCGGAAAGATGATCACCTGAGCCCAGCAGATCAAGGCTGCGGTGGCCCTGAGCGTAACGCTGCACTCCAGCCGGGCAACAGAGTGAGACTTCAACTCAAAAAAAGAAAAAAAAAAAAGAGTGCTTCAAGTGGTACTGTCAATTGCAGTGATTGTTTTGGCCTTAGTTCTCCAAATGCACTAGGCTCTCCAATTCACCCCAGTCTTGCCACTTTCCCTTGTGTAGCTGGTCAGTACATCAAAACTTCCCCAGATTCTTGCTGGCTCTCCCAGCCCCAGCCAAAAGGACTGGGAGGACCAAGCAACATGACTTCCTAGCTTCCCAGTCCCCTCCTTCTCCTTAAAAGAAGCTTCGCTGGCTGGAGTAACTTTTTGACTATAGGATTTTTGGTTGACCATATTAAATTCACCAGAGAGGATCTGAGTGCACTCAACACCAGAGTGAACTAAAATTGATTTCCTAGTTTGTCTGAATGGCTTATACATATAAGAGAGCAAGGAGACCAGGTGTGGTGGCTCATACTTGTAATCCCAGCACTTTGGGAGGCTGATCATTTGAGCACAAGAGTTTGAGACTAGCCTAGGCAACATAGCAAGACCTCATCTCAGCCGGGCTTGGTGGCTCAGTCTATAATCCCAGCGCTTTGGGAGGCTGAGGTGAGTGGATTACCTGAACCCACGGGTTCGAGACCACCCTGGGCAACTTGGTGAGACTTCATCTCTACAATAAAATAAAAAAAAAATTAACCAGGCATGGTAGAGCCTGCCTGTAGTTCCAGCTACTTGGAAAGCTGAGGCAGAAGGATCGCCGGAGCCCAGCAGGTCGAGGCTGCAGTGGCTGGGAGCGTGCCACTGCACTCCAGTCTGGGTGACAGAGTGAGACTCCAACTCAAAAAAAAAAAAAAAACAAAACCCTCATCTCTACAAAAAATAAAAAAATTAACCTGACATGGTGGTGCACACCTGTGGTCTCAGCTACTCAGGAAGCTGAGGCAGAAGGTTCACCTGAGTCCAAGAGATTGAGGCTGTGGTGAGCCATCATGGTGCCACCATGCTCAAGTCTGGATGACAGAGTGAGATCCCAACTCAAAACAAAAAGAGAGAAAACAAGGAGAACATAGGCAAGTTTAGAACTGAAATGATCTGTGAGGGTTTTCATTCCTTATCACACTGAGAATGCAGGCAGAGAAACCACTGTCCCCAAAATGAGTATATGTTAGAAGTTTAAACCGGCCAGGCTTGGTGGCTCAACCTGTAATTCCATTTTGGGAGGCCGAGGTTAGTGGATTGCCTGAGCCCACAGGTTCTCGCCTGGGCAACTTGGCGAGACCTCGTCTCTACAGTAAATTAAGA